TATGAATCTATTTCAATAATATTTTGGAATTAAACGAAATTTACAAAAACAATTTAAAATTGTATCACTTTTTACAAGTAGGTCTTTGAGACTACCTCTGGATCTTATATTCATCTTGTATTAATCCTATTTTAAAAAGGCTTCCAAAATTTACTTGTTCCAAATAAATATTCTTAGATTGAGACACGAAAGTGGCCCGTGAAGTAAAGGCTGGCCTAAGGGATTTACCACCCAAATATACATGCAGAGTTAAGGCGTCCCTCTAAGGGGTGTTGATCTGACCTGTTCAGGCGAGGTTGAATCTGCACTCCACTCCTGCTTGGATGATAGTACCTTTTGGAGAGCAAGGTTATGCGAAATGTAATGAAAACATTAGGTCTACTAATATTGTTATATGAAAAGTAAACTACCAGCTCTTCATTATCTTAAGCGAAATAGTGGGTCCAGTTCTTATTCAAAATCTAATAGTGGTCTCGAAAGCCTAAGTAAAAACTAAAATGAGTTTGCCATGCTGAATGGTTAAGAAATATAGCTTTATAAGCCTTCATAAAAGTCGCTTTGGCCCAATCCAATGCCTTTAATTGAATGACTATATTTCACATCCAAGTCGAATAAAATGTAATGTAGTATGATATATATTGAATGGGATCTCACTTGTCGCCTTCATAAATCAAATAAATTGTATTATTTTAATAAGCCATACTAAAAGGAAGCTATTGGATTGATGGCATGAAATTGTTTAGTACTGACCCTTAAATAATTTATTTATAGTCATTGCTGTTAGTATTGAGAAAGGGATTCATCTGGGAATAGAGAGATTTATGAGTCGCGGAGAGCATTCGCCGGAGCGGTAGGGAACCTGATCTATGCATATTATAATAACGATATAAAAGAGTTCATAAAGTACCGATTTAATTCTTCATACTCCAACTTATGTTCTGGAAGAAAAACCCGTATATCGCTAGTCTTTAAAACTTTGTGCATCAAGACCAGATATCCTAAAATGTGAGAGCTGGCTTGTGTACTAAGTAGTGTCACAAGAAAAAATAAAAAAGAATGTGACTATTAAATGTATCCCCAAAGTTCGCCTATAAACAACCGGTTTTGTGAAACGAGTGGTGATTAAGTGATGAACTTCACTATAGATGGCTTCAAAAAAGTTTGCCTATCTCATAACATGTAAAGATTAAAAATGTATACTCCTAACAGGTGTAGATTAATTATCACCAGATGTATATTTCGTAGTGTCTGCTTTGGCAAAAACTCGCAGTCAAGACTGTGTAGAACCGAGGAGGCAAGAATCAACATACCGACCACACCGATAATAAACGATTGTCGTCGAGCGTCACGAGCAGTGACGAGATTGGTCAAACGGAAGCGAACAAGGGTAACGCCCTCTTCTGCACGAACACGAACAATGCGAGTTTGATCTAGAAAGCCGCTGGCCATGACGGTGAGACGATAGACACCAGGAGGCAGCGGGAGACCAAAGAAGCCTAGCTCAGACGGGGGCCCAGTAGAAAGTTCTCCAGAAAGATAGTCGATGTGAATTCGAGCCCAAGGCACAGGTGCTCCATTGGTAGTCTGAATATACATGCAGGTAAATGGTAGGGAAACGAGAGTTGTACGAGAATAACAGTAATACAGAATGCAGGTGAGCAGAAAGCAATAGCCACTACGGGAAACACTTGACTCATTAAAGAATGCAAAAGATCCAAGAATATGCCATCTCAAGTATCTTCAGTATGTCATGATCGCGCTTGTATGGATCAACGCCTTTAGCGCAGTGGTCTTTCTATACCTTTTGAAGAAAAGCGGAACATTCGATTAAGACTTTTTAACCCACTTCCACTTCGGTTTCCAC